GAGAGCTGATGGACATTTTAGTTTTGTTGTTTAATATTTGACTCAAGGGCGCCCCCTACATTATTCAAACTGTTATCTCTCAGTGATATGTCATCCGATCTGGACCAGATTTTGGTGTGTGATTAGTGAACACTTAAACACACAATGGTATTGTTGTTTTACTTTTGACTCAAGTGCGCCCCCTAGGTAAATCAAACTGTTATAGCTCAGTGATATATTGTCCGATCTGCATCAGATTTTTGGTGCTTGACTAGTGAGGACTTATGGACGCAGTGGTGTTGTTGTTTAATATTTGACTCAAGTGCGCCCCCTAGAAAATTCAACCTGTTATATCTCAGTGATATATCGTCCGATCTGCACCAGATTTTTGGTGCTTCACTAGTGAGGACTTATGGACGCAGTGGTGTTGTTGTTTAATATTTGACTCAAGTGCGCCCCCTAAATTATTACAATAGGTATATATGCGGTCGCAGCTTATGTCAAAGGTTTGGCGAATGCGCACTACGGAGAACGGGCGCGTGACGGTAGCGTGAGCGTTCTCGATGGCGACCGGGAAGGGTCGCTGCAGTTCCCGCGGTCGCCATAAGGCCGCAGCGGCGCTTCGCTGCGAGGGCCTTCAACGCTGCTTGCAGCTTTAATTAATAATGTTATTAGTAGTAGCAGTAAAATATTTTGTTTTGGTCATTTTCTGTTTTACAGAGTATCCCCACACTTCAGAAACAGGCTTGTGTACTTGTGTTGAGGTCATAGGTCCAATCAAAGTGAAATGTATCAGTCGAACATGTATAAATAGTTATGTTGACTCAGAAGCACAGTGGATCAGAGTGCATGCGTATGTGTGTATTTGTACTCATGCTTCCCGATGACGTTGATGTGCACCAAGTGCGTATGAGTGCAGCGAGTGACAGTTCAGAGAAACCTGAAAATCTCTTTTTGTCATTCTGCAGCTCGGACCAACAGGTTGAGCAAAGGTGTGCGATGGGAACGAGAGCAGCAAGGCAGCCAGTCGGACTGGTAGGGTCGGCCACGAAAAGAACAAATCTCTGCAAAGGAAGTGAGCAACTATCTCGGGATAGTAGTAACATAAACAATTGGTTTCACTTGGCTTCTAAAAAACCACAGTTTTCTTTAAGGTTTTCTCGTGAATCTTTCGTCTGTCTCTGCGAATCTCAGTCCTGTTTTGACTAAACGAATAAACTTTGTTATCCCGTGCAGTGAGGAGGGGCAGGCGACGTTCTGTCTTGAGGAAACAAGTTTAATTTCTATAATTGTGTTTTTTGTGTGAGGGGTGTATTGTTCAGCTGGCTTGCCTCTAGCTGTTTTTTTTTTTTTTGTAAATTTGGAACTGCAGGTCTGCACAGCAGAGGTCCATCTGTGTTTAGTACAAATAAAATAAACCTGCAGGAATGCAGAAAGGAATCCAGCTGTTACATCTTTGTTCCTCTGCATCTGCTGAGTTTCTGCAAACACAGAAACACACTCAGATTTGTCTAACTGTACCTGTACAGAACTCTTTACCTTAGAGCTTCCTTCTCTTTGTCCAATTTTTATTTTTATTTTTTGGCAACCTGAGCCAGAGACAAAATAAATCAGGGAATATTTTTTCGTCTCTTTTTGTGCTAATAGATAACTCAATCTGGTCACAGTCAATAAATCATCTCATTCAAATTCTAAAAGTAAACGATTTATAAACTTAAACTTTATCTACATTACTGTGTATATAAAAACCTAAATGAATTTTGTTTTTGTTTTAGCTAAAGGAGAATTAATCATTGGTTAATCCTTATTGCTTAATTACTTTACAACCACTTCTCCGGATAAGTTATTTTCCAAATTCTTATTCTTGGATATTTGTGTTTTAGATTTTAATTACTGTTTGTCATATTCTATTTTTGAATAATTATTTTTGTAATAAAATCAGCATCATCATATAAAAATGGCATCAAGTTTAATGAGTGAGAACTCCACAACTCAGCACATTTTCAACATACAAGACAAGATAATGCCATATTTATTAAATGACTCAGCAGAATGGCTCCTGAACTGCTTTTTTGATCTATAAATACCGTTTCACTAAGAGTGGAAGAGAAATTAAAACAATTTCTAACAATAAAAACAACCAAAACATAAATACTGTTGGTTATTTGCATTATGCAATCTATAACTTTTTTTTTTTTATCTTATTACCCAAACAACATCTAGAAAAAGTTTATTCCTCTTGGAATTTAATAATTTGGGAACCAAATTCCCCAAAACTACAAGAAAAAATTTATTGTGGCAAATAAGATGAAAGATAAAATCTTATATTCTTTTCAGCAAAACAGACACATCCATCCATCCATCCATCTAATACATCCATCATCTTTATTTAAACAGGACTAACCTGTTTAAATAAAGGTTGAATCGGTCCATCCATCCATTCTCATTGCCCACTTCTATCATTTCAAATGGAGGCTGAAAGCACCCACATCTGAGGGTGCCTTTACCATTGTTTATTAACTGATGAAGCAAAAAAAATTACAAAAAATTGAATATGGTTAGGATTTCTTTCCTATTAATTATTAAAAGTTTTTTTTCAATCGAATTCCCAAACCGAACTCTGATACCAATAATAAATCGCAAAAATAATTTAAATGCAATAACACCAAATGACACAATGCACTGTTTCTTTTAAAAACTAACTAACGTAAAATACTTTGTACATTGGACTTAAATATAAATTTGCAATGAATCAACAACATTCAGATTGTCTTGTAAATGCAAACCTGATATATTTAGTGTTTAGTGAAAAAGATATAGTCCAACTTGCTGAATATTTACATTACACAAAACAAAAGTGACACAAAATTAATCTCAGGAAGAATTTGAATATTAAAAAAAAAAACACCCAGTATTAACACGCTCTAAAACACAGCACTGTCAAAATTTCAGATGCAAAGGCAGCATTTCCATCAGACACGCACAAAACCCCAGAGCAAGTAAAAGAAAAATAAGAAACACTTCCAAGGCCACAAACATGCAAAACAACTTACCTTGTTGCTTGGTGTTGCATTATAAGTGTGCAATGGGCTTTTGAAAGCTTTTTTTTTTTGTGACAGCAGATGCCTTTGTTGTCTGAGAATGACCCATTGAACTCAGACAGGAATATCTCAGGTTGCAAAAGCCTCAACAATGAGCTGCAATATGCTGGAAACATCTACAAGAGAGATGTGAAGGGGTGCAAAAATTCCTTGCTATTCACTACAAATGCTGCTGATGTAAAAAGATTTTGTCATTAAATTATATGTATTTATTTCCACTAATTAAAGTAATAACAATAATTTAATCGGCTAAATGTCTTTAATTTATACGGCAGCTATTAAAATTGATAAAAACATGGCTAATACACAACAAAGTTTCACACAAAATAATTTAATACATTCCCCAGCAGTGCGGCAGATTGGCCGGTAGGGGGCGCTCTGCACAAAGTTCAAGCCTTTTTTGTCTCGCCGAAGAAGTCACGCGCAAGACCGCACAATTTGTCGTGTAATCTCAACATAACGAGGGTTGTCACAATTTTAGTGAGAAGTTTTATGACGGGATTTTGATTGGAACACCCTGTTGTCTTTGCTAGGTAAGAAAAATAGCCAGTGCTGTGTTTTATTTTAAGATACAAACCGGAATGGAACCGCCGGCATTACAGATAATGAAGCGGCTTTAGCTAGTTAGCTAATGCCAAAGAGGTCACGCCAAACTCCATTTAAATTTTCATTAAAAATACATGTAGCTGGTATATTGTCGTGAAGTAACACTTGACGACTAACCTTTTTGTTTGTTTTTTATGGTCTTATAGTCCAATAAGTTTCGGTGGTCAGTAAGGATGAATTTAGCTACAATGAGCTTTTAGGGGAATGTTTTATGATGTTTGCCTGGTTGTCTTTTCTCGATAAAATCTTTCACAGAAGTCTAAGCTGCTGCATGAAGCGTATATTAAAAGGTTAAGCACTGCCAGCTGTGTGTCAGTTTTCGTCTTTGTGTTCTGACAGGAACCCAGACCGGGATGAACGTCTCCTGTGGGTTCGTGTCGGCTGCTGCTCGAAGCTTCACCCGGTGGAGTCCCGCCGGGGCTCGGTTCTGCTGGAGGCTGCTGGGCCCTGCATCCACCTCCAGGTCAGCTTGCTGTCCTGACACCTCTGTCGCAAACTGGGTGACAGCAGAGGACATCGTGTACTTTTAATGAGACAATTTTAAAACAATTGTTCTTTAATGAGAATTATTTCGAACTTCCTTTTCTAGGGATTTACTTTAAACCAGCTAAATAATCAGTTTTCTCCTTAACAGGAGAAACATGTCCTCCAAAAGACAAGCGGACCATCTAGAGAGGACAGCGAGCAACTACAGACAAATTGTAAGTTAGTACTTTGTGCTTGAGCTGGTTATATCTCAACTATTTCACTTTAAAGATCATGCCCACAAATTTTACTTGGCTTTATAAGATTTTAAATCTGCTTCGAAATATCTATTTGTTTGTGTTTAATTGGCTACATGATGTAGGCTCTGTATCCAGCTCAAGTATGTGGAATTGTGAATGAGTCGGAGACGGTAAAAAGACTGAGAATAGCCGTCCATCCAGACTTTACCTTCAAAGCAGGACAGTGGTGAGTAGACGCTCTTCAAACGTAACATTTTTGTCTGCATAAAGGCCCATCTTATCCAAGCTAACTCATCAGTGGCCTTAGTTCTTGAGACAAATTAACAACATCAGACTTGTCCTGATGCATGCTCATACAGGCACATAAGTCTATCAGTAATAATGTACATCGGAATAACTAAACAGCCACTGGCCAAAAGGATGGACCAGCACAGAAGAGCAACATAATCAGGCCAGGACTCTGCGGTCTACATTTATCTGCAGGTCAGAGGCCACTCTTTCAGGAGTGAAGATGTTCACATCCTTGATAGAGAGGAATGTGGGTTTGAGAGAGGAGTGAAGGAAGCCATCTTTGTGATGAGAACCCGTCCATCGTTAAACAGAGGCGGAAGTCTCCGTGTCCACCTGTCCCCCTCTTACAATGCTAGTATCATTCAACCCTCTGTGAATAGCAAGCAGCCATCAGGGCGCTGATCCACTGTCCAGAGGACCTGACTCAACCATGATGAACATCAGACTTGTTTCCCACGCACTGAAGAATACATTAAATGTGAAGCGTTATCACCCAAATGGCTTTGAAACAAAATGTAACAACACAGATAATAACAGCATAAGAACAACAGACTCAGAGCAGCAGCTGTTTTTGGATTTTTTTCAAAGCAACACAAGGATTCAGCTGTCTTTATGTAATGACAGAGTTACTCACAGTCACCACATGGTGGCAGTATTCTGTCAGATACTTCATCCTGAGTATAAAGCTTTGATTGCTGACTACTTTTACAGTTAAAGTCCTTTATTCAGCTGATATAAAGGAACACTAAAGGAAGAATCAGTCCTTGTTAAGTGAAGACTTATCAAACTGTTCAGTCAACTGCTCCACACCGACTTATTAGAAGCTGTTTTGACTGATTTTAAGATGAATTAGCTTTAAATAAATATTAAAGTAATGATGAATGATTTTTGATGATGGCAGACCTTTTTCCCAGAGACTTGCTCTGCCAGTTTGTGTTGCCAGGGTTAATCAGTGCACATAACGCAGCCTGTCCATATTGTTGGTGGGTGGTGGTACGAGTCTAAAGTGTTTTCATGATAACACGCTGTCCGCTCCTTCATCTGCAGGTAGAAATGGATCAGAAGAAAATATCTGTACTCTCAACTCATCTTGACTTTTAATGTCTTTGAGGGTTGTGGACTTTGACTCTTGTGTAAGGCAGATGAACATTGTTGGACTGTTTCAAACATTAGCTCAGCTGTTTAGCATCGCTGTGGTGGTTTTACTAGGGACAACATTGTTGGGGACTGGGATGCTACAATTTGAATAAATTTACTGACAGGGAACTTTGCATCTGATTGACTTTCATCCCTGTGACTCGGCTGGTTTTCACAACCGAATCGCATGCAGATGTTCAATAAAGGATGTTTGTCTTTAGTTATGACAAAATTAACAGAAATGTAAAGAAGATCTGTGATTTTCTCTGTGAATTCAAAAAAACGTTCAATACAAAAACTTTTTTTTTTTTATGCGTTTGTGGGTGCAGGGTAGATTTATTCATCCCAGGTGTGGACAAGGTGGGGGGTTTCTCCATGTGCTCCAGTCCAGGTTTGCTGCAGCGTGAGGGAGTCGTCGAACTGGCCGTCAAATACACCAAACACCCCCCTGCACACTGGGTCCACACAATGGTGAGTGAGGTGGTCATTTTTATACATATTTCATGTATAGATCCTCGGGGAAAAAAGTACTAAGTTGCTTTATTAATGATAGAAGAAAGTATTCACAGCATGTACCGGTAGATTGGTTTGTGTGTTCATGTGAACACAAAAAATGAACATGCTGCAGCATTGCTGTTAAAACTACCGTATACTGAAGTTTGTGTTGCATTTACAAAGTGTAGTGGAACTGTTGAGATTTAAGTCTGAATGAAGTCATTCAATTGCTGTTTAGGCGTATACCGTATTTTTCGCCGTATAAGTTGCACCTATTTGCATACATTTGCAAGTCTCTGAAGTGACTAATACTTTATTTGTCATATTTATAATCCAATTTTTGGCAGAGATTTGACAATTTCATTCATTCTGACATGAAAAATGTTAAACATTACCATCTGCAGCAGCTAGAGGACCCTCGAGGTATATGGTAAGCCAATTGCCATACAACTAACCTTGATCTCGGTCCACAAATCCTGGAGCAAATGTTAAATCAGCTGCATTTCACCGCGTTGCCCTGGAGAAATGACCATTAAAGTGAATTTATTAAAGAAAAGTTCAAATGAGACCCACATTTACTATAATGTTGAGCAAACAAATAATTGTTTTTAGGTGGTTATCTTGTTAAGTTTCGAAGAAATGCACAGCGAGTCCTCCCTCTACGCGCTCCAGCAGCCGCAAATCGATTTTTGAAAATACCATACCATACCATACCATACCATACCAATTTATTTATAGAGCACTTAAAACAGCAACAAGGCCAACCAAAGTGCTGTACAAAAGAAAACAAACATGCACAGCGGACAGGAAAACATAAAATAGAAATACAGATACAAATAGCAGCAGAAGCTAACTAAAATGGACAACAGAGTAGAGAACAGACCGGACCAAAACAAATCACAACGTGTTAAAGGCAAGCGAATAGAAGTGGGTCTTCAAGCGAGACTTAAAGACTGAGAGTGTGGGAGCCTGCCGGACACTCAGTGGCAACTCATTCCACAGTCGTGGACCTGCAACAGAGAAAGCCCTGTCACCTCCGAGCTTACGACGGGTTTCTGGGACTGAGAGAAGCATCTGGTCTGCTGACCTCAGAGAGCGCGGTGGGACATATGGCTGCAGAAGATCAGTGAGATAGGATGGGGCGGAACTGTTCAGTGATTTAAAAACATACATGAGAATTTTGAATTGGATCCGAAGGTGAATGGGTAGCCAGTGCAAGGAGGCCAAAACTGGCGTGATGTGCTCTCTATAGCCTGTACCAGTTAAAAATCGGGCTGCAGCATTTTGGACCAGTTGTAGATGAGCAATGGAGGACTGACTGATTCCAAACAGAAGTGAATTGCAGTAATCAAGCCTAGATGTTATGAAGGCGTGGATCACTGTCTCAAGGTTCTTCTTGGAGAGTATAGGCTTCAGCTTAGACAGTTGTCTCAGCTGAAAAAAACAGGATTTGACCATCATGTTTACGTGACTGTTGAGTTTTAAGGACGGGTCCATTATCACCCCCAGATTAGTGACCTTTTGTTTCTCTAGCGGGGCTAGAGAGAAAAGGTCAATGTCATGGTTCATGAGTGAGCCACTGGGATGGAACAGCATAACTTCAGACTTCTTCTCATTGAAGCTTAAGAAGTTTAAAGCCATCCAGTCCCGGATGTCAGCCAGGCAGTCAAGAAGAGGCTGAATAGAGCGTGTGCCTCTGTGCCTCAGGGGGAAGTAAATTTGGCAATCATCGGCGTAGAAATGAAAGGGTATGTTGTGTTTGCGGAAGATAGCACCTAGTGGCAACAGGTATAAAGAAAAGAAAAGGGGACCGAGGATGTACCCCTACGGTACCCCCCACTGGAGTGCGGTCGATGCCGAACTAAAATCTTTGATATTGACACAGAAGGTTCTGTCAGAGAGGTAGGACCCAAACCATTTAAGGGCTGACCCTGTGATGCTCACCCACTGCTCCAGTCTAGAAATGAGGATGTTGTGGTCGATGGTGTCAAAAGCAGATGTAAGGTCCAATAGGACAAGCAGCACAGAATCACCTGCGTCTGTGGATATGAAAATGTCATTAAAAACCTTCAGTAGAGCAGTTTCAGTGCTATGGAGGGATTTGAAGCCAGATTGGAATAACTCTAGGATAGCGTGATCCCCCAAAAACTGTTTCAACTGAGACTCCACAATTTTTTCCAGTAGTTTAGAGGTGAATGAGAGTCTGGAGACAGGCCGGAAGTTGGACATGACTGAGGGGTCAAGGTTAGGTTTTTTCAGGAGGGGCTGGACAGCAGCATGTTTAAAAGTCTTTGGCACCACACCTGAGGATAAACTGCTATTCAGAATAGCGAGGATAAAAGGACCCAGGGTAGGAAAAACTTCCTTTAGTAGTCGAGGGGGGACCACATCAAAGGGGGAACCAGATGGTTTCATGCTGCACATTACCTGCTCCAGAGAGGACAGAGAGATGGGCTCAAAGTGGTCAAACACAGCCACGCACTGAGATGGGATGGACAGAAAATGCAGCTGATATGACCATTAAAGTGAATTTATTAAGGAAAAGTTCAACTGAGACACCTTTGCTATAATATCGAGGAAGCAAATAATTGTTTTTAAGTGTTAATCTTGTTAAATTCTTGTTAAAGTCCTCCCGCGTGCGCTCCCGCCGCCACCATTTGGCAGCCTATCGATTTTTGGCACAACACCGGCCCACGTTTCCAGGTTGTCATTAGTGACGCATAATAGATGTGACTTATACAGCAAAGAGACATATTTATATATTTTTTCACTTGATTAGACATTTTTAGACTGATGCAACTTATACAGTGGAAAATACGGTAGTTTAAAATTAATTGTAAGATAGAAGTAACATTTGTGCTTCATGGGTTTACTCTGTATAAACAATCAAAGTCATCATTATTAAAATATATAAACTTACTTTTTCAAGTTTCTCAACATTGTCTTTTATTTATTAGGAACCATTTGTCCAAGATTGCTTGTTTAATAAAAAGCACATTGGTTTAGTAATGTTTGTATAAATGTTTTTTGGGCTTGCCTCTCTCTGCAGCCTACATGTTTGCAGCCTCTGTGTTTAATGAAGGATCATAGTAAACAGATGTGGACTGCTGTGCTTTTACAGGAAGAAATGGGAGAAAGCCGTGTGCATTTTTAATGTTCTGAAACCTACAGCTCCCAGCTCTGGGACTGGTGTTTGATCTCTTCTTTGATATTGTGCTCCTGTTGTAGTTTGCGCACCGTTTTACTAGTTTAGGAGTGTTATTACGTGAATGTAATGAAAGTGCTCGACTTTGTGCATTTGTGTGTAAACCCTGATTTTTTTTTCTCAACTACATGTGTGGTTTTTCCTCCTCAGTGTACTGTTGGCTCCCAAGTGGACATGCGTGTCGGTGGGGACTTCTTCTTCGACCCATCACCTTCTGATCCCTCGGTGGACTTGCTGTTGGTGGCTGGTGGTGTAGGCATCAATCCCTTGTACTCCATTCTGTTGCACACAGCAGATCTGCTCCAGCTCAGTCACGCTTCAGATGGTCGGGACTACAGCGTCGGCGCGACCCACCTCTGTTACAGCGCCAAGAACACGACGGAGCTGCTCTTTAAGGTCTGCCTTTAGACTGGTTTTATTAAGGAACTCCTCAGGCGTGTTTTAGTTATGCAAAGGAAACCTTGTGCATAAATGTATCTAATGTGTTTTTCCAGCGCTCCATCGTTGAGACGTGTCAGCAGTTTCCTGACAAGTTCTCGTGTCACTTCCACGTCACGCAACAAAGGGCAGAAGTCGACCCGCACCTCCAGCCATTTGTCAGAAGTAAATTGCACAAATGTCGTTTTTCGTTTAGCCGGAATGACTGAGTGGCTGTCACGTTCTACTTTTGTAGATTTATCCGTCTTCATGTAGAACAGGCTCTCAGCTATGAGTAAGCTGAAGCAGTACGTGCCTCAGTCAGCGCAGAGTTGTAATTAATCAGTTTACTGTCTCTTTAGGTGGAAGAATCACAGAAGAGGAGTTGCAGGCTCACGTGAACCCACAAAGGACTTTGTGCTACATATGTGGACCTCCACCCATAATCGAAGCAGTTTCAAAAACCCTCACTGACCTCGGCCTCCCTGAAGACAGGATCATCTTTGAGAAATGGTGGTAGGACCAGACTCGTTTCCTCTGTCATCATCAGGAACTTTTCTGTGATTTGACTGACAAGTGAAAACCTCTGAGCCCTCCTGGGGTAAGATCAGTAACGGACTGCAAGACTCGCTCTTCAGCCAACAAGTGACTCAGAGACCGGAGATGAGTTAGATTTTTCTCTAATATGACCAGGAAGACGTCAACAACTGCAGTGCCTTCTTGTGTACACTTCAACAAATTGTGACTTGAAAAAAGAAATTGTGTAATTTTTGCAAAACTTATTTGCAGCCTGCACATGATGTTTTATTGTTGAGTAAAGTGTTCAGACGGCACAGTGTGGGGTGTATGAAGGTTATCTTTCACACTGTTAACATTAAAACGCTGCATCTGATCAAATCGCCTCGCTCAGAACGGTTGCACCTTCAGATAACCGCAGCAGGTGAAGGTGCTGCTCACAGAAACAGCAGGAAGCGTCTCAGATTGTGAAACTATCACTTTTTAAATTTAATTTAAACTTTATTTATACATGTAGTCTAGTTGAGTCACGAGAACTCATTTTCAAGACTTGTTTTGGGCAGCTATGTAGGTGCCCGGGGAGCAGTTAAGGATTAGTTGTCTTGTTCAAGGATACCACGACGTGGGCATGGTGGGGAGTTGAACCTGCGACTTTATGGTCCCAGGTCGGCTGCCCTACCTCTACACCACAGCGGCCCTGCAACCAAGTTGTCTACTTGGTTATATCAAAAGGCTTCCTTTAAGCAGACAACTGATATTAATATAAAAGCAACTGATCTTTTAAAGTGACGTTTTACAGAAAGGTATGAACAATTAACATCTTACCTGCGGTAGATAGCCACTTCAACGGCCTCATTTAGCAGAAATTGAGTTTATTTCTGATCAAATTCACAAGATGTGTTAACATGGGGGAGTGGTGGCGCAGAGGCTAGAGAGGGTGGGCCTGTGATCAGAGGATCACCGGTTCAACTCCCTGGACCAGCAACATGAAAAAAAAAATGTGGGTGGAAAAGCTGCAACATCCACACATGCCTCCACCCTTATTTGCCCCACTCTGAGCTCATGAGCAAGGCCCTTAACCACTCCAGCTGCTCCCTGGGCACCCTAGATGGCCGCCCTCTGCTTCACATGTGCAATGGGAAAAGTGCAGAAAATTAATTTCTCCATTGGGGATTAATAGAGTACAATAAAATTTTTAAAGGATTTAATATTCTTAGAAGTGTTATATATGCTGAATAAAACACAAGTAAATATTTTGGAATATCTGACTGATGAGACATTTTTCGCATTGTGTAGAAACTTGATGAACTCCCCCACTCTTGGCCAGTCTCCCAGTCTGTTTAACTCACCATTACATACTCCATTCTCATCTCTTCTTCACTCGCACTCATCCACAAACGGACTCTCATCCCAGGGTAGAGGAGGAAGTGTCCCACGGTGCTCTGTAATGGATCCTCCAGGTGGTCTGATTGGTTCCATCACCGAACCTTCCTTCTGAGACGGTCCTGCCGTCGTCTCAGCGAAGGTCGTGTCATTTCTTCCACTTAAGAGGAAAACTATTTATGTAGGTAACATTTAAATGAAATAAAGAACCTTTAAGGCATTTTGTTTTGAAACACTTTATTGATCTTATTATATCAAGACCTACATGTTACACCACTTCACGGGTAGTCCAAGAAAAACATCATAAAGGGCACGTTGTCCTGGGTTACTGAACGCAGAACAATAAAATTAAAAGTTGGTCAAACTTGGGAGGAATTCTCTTCAAAAAAATGTTATCGCAATAAAATAAACCTAAAAATAGATATTTTGTAACGCTTCCAATGTTTGAAAAATGTTTGGTTTAAGAGCTGAAAACCATAAAGTGTATTAGACATGTTTAAACTTAAACGGATCTATTAACTGACCAATGTTTATGGAGCAAAACGTTTTAAAATCTGGTGCTTAATTTCTTATTAACGTCCATATTCATTTGTAATTTTTTTTTTTTTATTAGATAATTTATGAAGTTTAACTTGTCTGCATTTACAGGCTTGTTGTTGAAAACAAATTTGTATTTTGTTGGCACTTTTTTATTCTGGATAATTATTTGTTGCCACACAATCTACAGTACTTATATACTTGATGCAGGTTTTAAAAATGGGCACTTTTTTGTGTTTAACCTGCTTTTTTTAGGGGCTCAAATTTCCAAAACAGAAGCAAAAGTTAAAATTTTAATACTTTCTCAATTACGTACCGGTTGCTTTGCGTCTTGACAGGAGCAACGAATTTCATTTCCATATTTCCTGCCTGTAGTTTGAGCGTTTAATTAGAAGCGCAGCCTAACGACCGTAGCATGTCCATCTTGCACGTCAAATGATCTGTTGATGCTCGGAGTGTGTTGACTGAGGATGACTCTCAGCTACCACCACACAAAATATTACCATATTTTTCGGACTATAAGTCGCACTTAAAATCCTTTAATTTTCCTAAAAATAGACACTGAGCCTTATAATCCAATGTATGTATTAATTCTTGTTGTGCTTATTGACCTCAAACTGATTTTATGTGGAACACAGCGCTAAAAAAAAATCTGTCAATGTTTTAGTTTCACTTAATGCGCCTTATAATCCGAAAAATACGGTAAACATCTGTAAAATCGAGTAACAGCCATTTTTTGTTTGTAAGGTTGATTAGCAGTGGCCACCATCTTGAACCAGGCTGAGTCCAAAACCTAATCAGTTGTAGATGTGCATCCAATGATTTAAAACCCATTTTGCTTTCATGTTGAAAAACTCACCACCATTAAGAAGTGTAAAACTGTTGACTGGTTTGGTTTTCTCTGGGTTACTTTGTGGATGTCTATAATGTGAAGCCTATCAGCATACCTGCATTTGGTTTATTGTGAGCAGACAATTCTCAACACTGAGCTTGCATTAACCATCACCAACCAGTACTGGCAACTGCGCCTGCCAACGTTGTGCTTCCAGATGTTTTACAGCTTGTGGTTGCTTCACTACACTTGTTTTTCTGTATTCAGTTTTAGAACTGGATTTCTTTTTTTTTTTCTGATCAAACATCTAACCGGATCCCCTCTTCTTTTAAGACTCATGAAATGTTCACTTCTATATTTGCTCTTAACTAGGGATGCACAATATTATCGGCCTTTCCGTCAAAATAACTCACAGATATAAAAGACTCTTTTTTTGTATGACAAGGATGCCGCAGCGCCAGCACAACGGGATGACATCACGCGTGGCTACCTGATCTGATCACCGCAAAGAAGAAGTCGTCAAAATGTCGGCGGTGTGGATTTTTTTTCTTTTTTGAGGATGTCGGATTCTGAAGATTTTTGGACCACGTTGAGCCTCGTTACATTGTTCCCAGTCAGAGATATTTTTCTGACGTAGCCTTACTCGAGTTACAAACCATTTCCGACGTCATTGAGAAGCTAATAGCACTTGGGTGAGTTTTACCACAGACATTTGGACGTCGTGTTAGCCCCGTTAGCATGATTAATCTTGCAGCACAATGGACAGACAAAAACTTTCTTCATGCACAGGAGTGCAGAGGATCTCACACTGCAGCTAGGAACCTGGAACAAGCCTCCACAAGAGAGACAGCATCACAGGTGACTAATGCTAATAAGTAATATTCAACACTTTTCATTTAATATGTTAAAGTGCTATGCATATCATATGGCTGTTACTGAATATATGTCACCAGCTCTTACAGCTGGTACACAATTTTTGTAGCAAATAAGCCTAAATAAGAGGGCTATGTTCTGACAAAGGAAAGTATATTAAAAGTATCGGATATCGGCCAAAAATACAATATTGTGCATCCCTACTTAACACATTTTACTCACAACCAACAACGAGCATTAACAAGTTGACTTCCTGGACTGTTCCGAACTGAGCAGGACGTTGTAATGATTTGGATGTCCAGACCTCTTTATGTTTGGAAGCTCCTCCACATAATGTTTTACCCAGACGGTCAGAAACTGTTGATTAAGCCTAAGGTCAGCACTGACCCCGGACCTCCTGCTGCCCTGACACTAACCTTTTATCCACTTCTTTCCCCCCACAACTTTTATATTTATATAAAAATATCAGTAGGACAAATGAAATTCCAGTCTAAAATGACAAAATTAAAAAAAAGTGACCAAAAAAATCATATTTAAGGCATTGACTGGAGACTAGCTCTAGGTTACGCTGTGTAAGACATCTGAACGCAGACCTAAAGGGAAGAGCTGCGTAACTCCTCGCTGACCCAAATCAGAGCAGACAGAACCATGAACACAACAAATCACGGGTCCCTTTGGGTTCGCTGCAGCAGCTAAAACTCAAAAAGCTTCTTGTCCTGTAGGTAAACCAGGCGTCTGCTCCCTCTGCCTGCTTTGTGTCCAATCTGTCAACAAACACCTGAAAACAGCTGGTGTTTGATCCGCTCGTCCACCCTGACCTCCTTTAACCCCCCAGCATCACTTTGACAGAAATCCGTCCACCTCAACTTCTCCTGCGGGACCTCGTCGACGTCGGTTTCCTCCTCAGCGGAAGGCCGTCGCTCTAACAGGAACGAGAAGCTCTTTTGATGCGATGCATCCTCTCCACTCTGAAGGCTCGCTCTCCTGCTCCTCCCTTCCTCCTCCTCGTTAACTCTCAGCCTGTCCATCTCAGTCTCGATCACGAGGGACTTGCTCTCTTGTTCGTCCAGTGCTTCTCCGGCAAAGTGTTTCTTTGGCTTGCTGCGACCTCTGAGGCTCAGCATCTGAAATCAAACGGACATGTTTGAAATAGTTTTAGCGTCTTTGTGTTGAGTCTTTTCATGCCGTCTCTGCAGACACCTGACAAACACAACAAAGCTCTGTTCACTGACGCTTCTTTCCTGTACACTTTGAGGCCCACTTGCCTATTATTAGACGTTTTTTTAAACGTGGGTTTATATTCGCTGTGCATCCCATATTTAGCAACACAACTTCTTAATGGCACAGTCTGTGACATCAAGTCACATGCCCTCAGGGCGCCACCGAGACAACTGTCAGGTTTGTTGCTAAGACAGAAGACGCACCTTGAAGTCTTTCCTCTTGCGCTGCAAAACGGGTCTCTGAAGGAAAAGGATTTGCTTAGTCGACAAACTCCCATCACTGGAAAAAAAAAAAGGAAAGCAGCTCTTTAATGACCGTTTCCCACTATTTAATAATAATTTGAGCATCTTGCGTATTTCCGCATGCACTGAAATCTGCTTCCTGCGGTTTGTAAAGTGACAGGTTACACGGCGACCGCAGTTCAGCGGCGGCGTTTGTTGTTCGCAGCGGCAACAGATTTGAAAAGCTTTCTCATGTTCAGACGAGCGTATGATCGTGATTTGTCAGATCTCGAACCAGCTGTCCTTCACGTCGAAGTTCCTCTGTCAGTCCTAATCCCAAAAGGCACGAGGCGTTTTAGAAGAGTGACGACTTCACAATGAACGGTAAAGTAAAACTGTAATTAGGCCTGGCTAAGTTTAGGTGGTATTGATCAACGAGATTAAAAAAGTAAAAACCGAACAGTTGTGTGACTATTTTTGTTGATGAAAGTGTTTTTATTTAGAGGAGAGGAGAGGAGGGGTACCTATTTGTCTTGACAATGGGTGTGGGTAACACGCACATCAGTCTCCATCCGTATGGGGCTAACGATTGCAGCAGAGGGATGTAGTCTGTCTTTACCACAACTCCCTGGAAAAAAGTCACAATATTAAAAAATGCACAAAGGAAGGAAGGAAGGAAGGAAGCATGCTGCAGTTTCTCCCTTTTACTCTCAAGTAAAATTTGACAATGTGTGACTTAGTCCACCTTAAGTCTCATTCAGTTTGGGAATTGAACATCCAATAAGGTTAATTCATCGACTCACAAATATCAACAATACAAAGTCTTATTGACGCATTACGTTGTATTACAGTTAATGGTCCCCCGCTACTTTGTGGTTCAACTTTCGCAAACTCTCTCTTTGCGGTTATTCAAAGTGCGATTGGACATGACATACGATTGGCTGATTAATGGATGAGTTGTACAAGTGGCATTGAATTTTTATTTTAAATGAATTTTAGCACCTGTGTGCAGCCCATAGGTGCATGGAGAAGTTCCCTCCTGCAACCTGTCATGATCTCCGCTCTCTGCCACGCCCACATTTCCCCTCTGGCTGCCGCAGCTTTGTAAAGGGTTAACCCTTTGCTGTCCTGCTACACTTCTATATAATTTAAATTTAAATACTGTAATATTTTAAATAATCCACGCTGCATGGATTGTTTATTTAAAATATTACAGTATTTAAATAGTTCATTTACACAGAAGGAGGGAGATTGGGAGCAGGTTATGGGTGTGATTGCAGTGTAGAAGTGGGCTGGCAGAGAGCGGAGATCATGATATGATGTGCTCTTTTAGAGCGTTTAGAGTTTAGAAACATATTGTTTAGAATATTGCAATAGTGTGGGAAGGGTTCATAAAGCTTAGAAAGGGTTTTATTTAGTATATATATATATATATATATATACACACACACAAACTGGATTCCAAAAAAGTTGGGACACTAAACAAATTGTGAATAAAAACTGAATGCAATGATGTGGAGATGGTAAATGTTAATATTTTATTCGTAATATAACATAGATGACAGATCAAAAGTTTAATCTGAGTAAATGTAACATTTTAAAGGAAAAATATCTGTTGATTCAAAATTTCACAGTGTCGACAAATCCCAAAAAAGTTGGGACAAGTAGCAACAAGTGGCTGGAAAAAAGGAAATTGAGCATATAACGAAAAGCTGGAAGACCAATTAACACTAATTAGGTCAATTGACAACATGATTGGGTATAAAAAGAGCTTCTCAGAGTGTCAGTATCTCTCAGAAGCCAAGATGGTAAGAGGATCACCAATTCCATCATTGTTGTGCAGAAAGATAGTGCAGCAATACCAGAATGGTGTTACCCAGCATAAAATAGCAAAGACTTTTAAGTTATCATCATCAACCGTGCATAACATCATCAAAATATTCAGAGAATCTGGAACAATCGCTGTGCGTAAGGGTCAAGGCCGTAAAACTCTACTGGATGCTCATGATCTCCGGGCCCTTAAACGTCACTGCACCTCAAACAGCAATGCCACTGTCAAGGAAATAACAGAATGGGCTCAGGAATACTTCCAAAAAGCATCGTCAGTGAACACAATCCACTGTGCCATCTGCCTTTGCCAGCTGAAACTCTACAGTGCAAAGAGGAAGCCATTTCTAAGCAAGCTCCACAAGCTCAGACGTTTGCACTGGGCCAGGGGTCATTTAAAATGGAGTGTGGCAAAATGGAAGACTGTTCTGTGGTCAGATGAGTCACGATTTGAAGTTCTTTATGGAACATTGAGACACCATGTCATCCGGACCAGAGAGGACAAGGATAGCCCAAGTTGTTATGAACGCTCTGTTCAGAAGCCTGCATCACTGATGGTATGGGGTTGCATGAGCGCTTGTGGCATGTACAGCTTGCATGTCTGGAAAGGCACCATTAATGCAGAGAACTATGCTCAGGTTCTAGAACAACATATGCTCCCGTCTAGACGTCATCTCTTTCAGGGAAGACCCTGCATTTTTCAACACGATAATGCCAGACCACATTCTGCAGCAATCACAACATCATGGCTACGTAGGAGAAGGATCCGGGTACTGAAATGGCCAGCCTGCTGTCCAGATCTTTCACCTATAGAGAACATTTGGCGCATCATAAAGAGGAAGGTGCGACAAAGAAGGCCCAAGACGATTGAACAGTTAGAGGCCCGTATTAGACATGAATGGGAGAGCATTCCTATTTCTAAACTTGAGAAACTGGTCTCCTCTGTCCCCAGACGTCTGTTGAGTGTTGTAAGAAGAAGGGGAGATGCCACACAGTGGTAAAAATGGACTTGTCCCAACTTTTTTGGGATTTGTTGACACCATGAAATTTGGAAACAACAGATTTTTCCCTTAAAATGATACATTCTCTCAGTTTAAACTTTTGATCTGTGATTTGTGTTCTATTCTGAATAAAATATTAGATGTTGGCACCCCCACATCATTGCATTCAGTTTTTATTCACAATTTGTTTAGTGTCCCAACTTTTTTGGAATCCGGTTTGTATATATAAAATATAAATATATAAAACTAAAAAACTACTACTTACTATTAAGATTTGTACTACTATCTGTACTTGGCAGTTTTTCCACTTATCACTTGGGCGTGGCCCCTAAACCCTGCGATAAACGAGGGACTTCTGTAATCGCATACAAATGCCAAAGCAACATGTCAGAGTTTAGCTTTGAGCTGGTAAAGTTTATTCAGCTTTCAAAGGAAAAACTAAATCCAACTTTGTTCCACTTGATTATTTTTTTCTCCTTCTGAAATGTCAAATATTCTGACTTTCAAGCTCAAACTGTAAAATAAAACCTTACATCTACAACGGTCCACTGCTCAACCACAATAGCATCGTAGGACGTATTTGCAGCCTCCTCTGCAGAGCTCTGGAAGATGAACACGCTATCCACAGATGAAACTCCATCATCTGGAAAAGAGTGGGGGGGGGAAACTCAGAGACAGACAAACACAGGTGGATAACAGGAACAACTATTGGTCCAAGTTCCCTTTGGGTTCAGCTCCATCAATGACTGGTTGAGCAGAAACTTTAGATATAAGCTGGTAGGCATCTGGTTCATGCATATTATCCATTATGCAGCAGTGAAGCTGAATTTTGCAGCATTTAAGAAGCTTTTCATACCCTGGTGCTACTCAACCAGTGAAAACTCATAGGCAAATGCCACAAGAAAAAGTATCTTTAAAACTGCAGTAATCAGTGGAGTCTGATCATATTCAAAAATAAACCTTTTGAAAGTGTCAAAATTGCACCAAGTTACTGTAGGGCTACACCTCCTAGCATTCATATTGCCTTAAAGGCTGCACAATATGACATAATTCAGCTTAATGCATTCACACTCCATACACAAATAATATATTTAAGACAAGATATGCTTGAAGACAGTTTATGAAGTCAGGAACGGGCTTGCTTGGAACCCTGTCCTCACCGGCCATCTGGCAAACACAGCACTAAACCCTCACTCCTCCTTGGTGAGCCCAAGCGGAGGTGCCTCCCTGTAATTTTTTGAACCTCAGCCCAGTTGAACCCCTGAAACTAAGGCTTTGAATGTCAGGTGCTGTCACCCTAGTAGGGTTCAATAGCTTGCCTTGGTTTCCCTATTCTGGGTGTCATAATGGTATTTCTTCCAGTTATCTAACATTTAACAACGGTGTACCACAAGGTTCAGTCTTAGGACCCACCCGATTCACAATCTACATAGGTAATGAAGGTCAGAGCATCCCTGATGCATCCTTACATTTCTATGCTGATGATACACTTGTTTACTATTCAGCTAAAACAGTTGCTAAGGTTTTCCAGCTTTTGCAATCTGTTTTTGACATCATCCAGTCAGATTTGTTCCATCTCAAACTTGTGCTAAACGCTGACAAAACCAAAAGGATGTTGTTTTCAAACAGGAAATCAGTCCCAGAAGTAATTTGTTCTATCATATCTTTGAAGTGTTCCTATTGAGTTTGTCAATTCCAACAAATACTTGGGTATTTTGGTCAATTCGCATCTCTCCTTTAAGACCCGTGTTGAAAACTTGGTAAAGAAACTGAAAGTAAATTTGGGTTTCTTTTTCAGAAATAGATCCTGTCTAACTCTGAATAGGAAACGTCTTGTAACTGTGACTTTCCTTCCCTCCATTGACTACGATGACATTATTTACATGAACGCTCCTACAAGCACCCTGCAGATGTTGCACACTGTCTATCATGGAGCGTTAAGATTCATAACTGGCTGTAACTACCGTACCCATCATTGCACCCTGTACTCACTGGTTAACTGGACGTCATTAACTTCATGCAGACTCTCTCACTGGTACATTTTCAACTTTAAATCACTTCTTGGTCTGCTGCCTTCATACATCTCCTCCTACATGTCAGTGCGTGAGTGCAGCTACAGCGTGCACTCTGAGGACATTATTACCTGCAGTGTTCCCTCAGTGAGGACTGAACTAGGTAAAAGGGCCTTCTCCTACTCCGCTCCTGTTTCCTGGAATATCTTACAAAAAGACCTGAAGCTCTTGACCTTGACCTCTCTAAGTGGCTTCAAACATCTAAGTTCATAGCAAAAGCCAATGCAGATATGTTCCTGTTTTTAGTATATTGCTTAATAATGTAGTTTTTGTTTCATTTTTTTAAATATCATCTTGTTAGATGTATTTTTCAATGTGCATGCTTTCTTTTATGATTGTCTACTGTTGTCATCACGTTTTCTTAAAATCAGGTCTCTCTTGTAAATGAGTCCTCGAGGCTCAGTGAGACTAACCTGTATAAATAAAGGTTGAATGAAAAGAAAAGTCAACCTGTTTCTTAGGGTTTGCCTAGAATAGCATTAATAACTTTTATTTCACCAGGCAAATCCTATGGAGACCACAGATCTCTTTTTCAAGGGAGGCCTGAAGGGATCGTTAACATGCATATTTTGGACTTACCTGGAGAAAACCCACGCAAACATGAGAACATGCAAACTTCACACAGAAAGACCCCGAGTCCAAATCACTTACTGAAGCCAGGACCTTCTTGCTGTGAGGCAACAGTGCTAACAACTAGACAGTCATGATGCCTGTCGTGATCAAGGCCTTCAAACCAGTCTTGGTATGAATCGTCCTCTGAGGCTAGTTTACCACCGTACACCATAACAGAGGCTAACCCTCCAAACAACACAGCCCCCTGAATCATGGAGGTACTAAAACACTTCCAGCATGTTAAGGTGTCGATTCAGAAGAGGATTTTCCACAGGAATGAGTTGCCTTGTGTTGATTAGCTCAGGTATTTGGTAGTCTTGTGGATGGAGTGGGCTAATGGATCCTCGGCTGCAGGAATGAGACTGTTTCTCTGGTCTGAGCTGAAAGGCAAAGCTCTTCGTTTACTGATCCATCCAAGTCCCAACCTTCACTTATTGAATCAAAGTGCCGCCTTTGGTATGACCCACTGGGTGGGAACCCAAGGGCAAACCCAGAAATTGCTGGAGGGATTATACAGGTGTATCTCAAAAAGTGAAAATATCGTGAAAGTTTTTTTTTTCCTCATAATTTCAGAAAATGAAACTCATATTACTGTAGATTTATTACACAGAGTGAAATATTTCAAGCCTTGTAATTTTGATGATAAAGTCTTCCAAATAATAATAATAAAAAAAAAAAATTCAGTGTCTTAGAAAATAAGAACACAGCCTTTTGGTACCTTTGTCAGTGTGGGCAGGAGTCAAGTCCTGCTGGAAAATGAAATCAGCATCTACATCAAGCTCATCAGCAGAAAGAAGCAGGAAGTCTCTCAAGTGTCCTGGTAGATGCTGCATTGACTGTGGACTTCAGAAAACTCAAGTGGACAAGAACCAGCAGAGGAAATGAACCCAAACCATCACTGACTGTGGAAACTTCACTCTGGACTTCAAGCAACATGGATTCTGGACCTCTCCACTTTTCCTCCAGACTCTGAGACCTTGATTTCCAAATGACATGTAAATAGACTTTAATCTGAAAAGAGGACAATGGACCACTGATCAACAGTCCTGCTCTTTTTGTCCTCAGCATGTAAGACACTTCTGATGTCTCTGGTTCGGGAGTGGTTTGACTTGAGGAATGAGACATTTGTCTAGGAGTTAATCAGCTGATCAGGGTGTGACACCAGGAGTTTACAAAATTGAATCTCTTCACAATGTTCTAATTTTCTGAGACACTGAATTGTGTTTTTTTCATTATCTGTAAACAAAATCATCAAAATTACAAGAAATAAAGTTATATATTTCATTCTATGTGTGATGTATCTATATAATATACGAGTTTCACTTTCTGAAATGATTGACCCAAAAAAAAAAAAAAAAAACTTTTTCATGGTATTCTTATTTTGAGAGATGCACCTGTACATCCCCTCTGGGCTGAACATCTTACTTGATGCACGTCCCATCTTTACACCAAGTATTACAATAAATGAGAAAACTTCAAAACAACTATATTCTCTGCTTCACTGGTATATACTGTATGTAAAAAACAAACCATTATCATTCGGGAGGTGGAAAAACCCATCAACGAGGTGTGCTCCGTAGATAAAATGTTGAGTCATGTGGTCGAGCCAGTTTGCATCCAGGTCCGTGATTAGCCCCGCCTCCTTTTGCACTTGAAGTGGCACTCTGAGGGAGTAGAACCTCAGGGAGGTGTTCAGCTCTCCCGTGTGGTTGTACAGAGCGAACAGCTGTGTCCCTACAGATACAAAACAGGAAAATTAACAAGTGAAAAATAAACTGGGTAAAACAAACGGGGCTTTGCATACTTACTGGCCTGAGCTGGTGGGGATGTTGCACCCTTGTCCTTCCCAGATTTCTTTAGTCTGATATGGTTGTTGTTATGTGTCGTCACTCGATTTGAGTCCAGTTTTCCATCACCCAGCTCTGGGGAGCTGAGCCAGCTGTCGGAGCTCGAGCCTCTTTTTTCTCTCTGATGTGAAAAGTTAGAATGTTTCTCTGCAGATCCGGTGAAATGTTTATCTTCAGCTAATTTACATAATGTACCTGCTGTTCCTGGTGGTTTCACATTAAACTGATTTCCTCTTGCATCTGTTATGTTTTTAACTTTGTCTGCATCAGGTTTGACGTGATTCTGAAGTCCGTTTGTTGACTTTCTGACATCCTTCTGTGAGGTTTCAATGTGGTCCTCCTCTGGACTGAGTGCTAAACTCTGAGCTCGTTTCAGACCCCCGGAAACTGAAGCGTTGCATTCCACAACGCCACGATCCACATCTTGAGATTCACAGCAGCAGAAATCAGCTTCTGCGTCATTCGAATTAGGTTCTGTAGGATCAGTTGGGCTTGTGTTGGCGCTGAAAGGGTGTCGATGAATGGGCGACGGGCTTGAGTGTAAAGACGACAGCTCCTCGGGGTCCCAGTGACCCAAGAAATACGGTCCACTGCCAGGCTGCTGAAGAAAGCCTACAAACATCACTCCTTGTTCCGCCACATCCTGGATCTGCAAAACAGACACAGCATTGTCATATTCATAAACTGTTTTAGATCGCTCTCAGTTTAAAACTAAATCTTACCTTGAAAATAGACAGGTTAAGCCTTTTTGGTCAAATCTTATGCTCACATTAAATCAACATTGTGAGATCTCACACAACCTGGTGGCACTTGGAATACAGGTACTTGTCATAGAATTAGAATACCATGAAAAAGTTGATTTATTTTAGTAATTCCATTCAAAAAATGAAACTTGTATATTATATTCATTCATTACACACAGATGGATATATTTCTTCTGATGTCTCTGGTTCAGGAGTGGTTTGACTTGAGGAATGAGACATTTGTCTAATCAGCTGATCAGGGTGTGACACCAGGAGTTTACAAAATTGAATTTCTTCACAATGTTCTAATTTTCTGAGACAATGAATTTTGTTTTTTTCATTATCTGTAAACAAACTCATCAAAATTACAAGAAATAAAGTTATATATTTCATTCTATGTATGTTTATTTATTTTAATGTTGATGATTATAACTGACAACTAATGAAAATCCCAAATTCAGTATCTCGGAAAATTAGAATATTGTGAAAAGTTTCAATACTGAAGACACCTGGTGCCACACTCTAATCAGCTAATTAACTCAAAACACCTGCAAAGGCCTTTAAATGGTCTCTCAGTCTAGTTCTGTAGGCTACACAATCTTGTGGAAGATTGCCGACTTGACAGTTGTCCAAAATATGACCATTGACACCTTGCACAAGGACGGCAAGACACAAAAGGTTATTGATAAAGAGGCTGGCTGTTCATAGAGCTCTGTGTCCAAGCACATTGATAGAGAGGTGAAGGGAAGGAAAATATGTGGTAGAAAAAAGTGTACAAGCAATAAGGATAACCGCACCCTGGAGAGGATTGTGAAACAGAACCCATTCCAAAATGTGGGGGAGATTCACAACAAATGGACTGCAGCTGTTCTAGAATTGCTCTGCTCAAGGTGGCTGCATGTTGGAGCAGCTCTGTTACTTTCATTTTGAGATTTTGCATTTGGAAACTTTAATTCCTCTTTTTCTGGATGTAAATCACATTTTTTGGATGATTGTTTCCTCTGGTATCTGATGCTGTGCAGCTGGAAGGATTTTTACTGAAACTTTTTTAGTTTTGGACATTTGTTATGATGCGTAACCATGGCAACAAGGCAGTTTTCTACAACCAACTGTAGCTGATTAACATCTCAAAAGCTCAAATAATATCTCAACTACAGCCCCAAATCTCAAATGAGTTGAAAAGGCTGTTCTGTGGACGCATTCTCATCTACCTGCCGGCTGTGCTTGAGTGCCTGACCGCTGGGATCCTGGTGCTGGCAGGGGACGCGGCTCGTGGCAGCGGAGGGACAGGATCGTCCCTCTGCACCTACAGTTGGCTGTCTGCAGCGACGAGGAGCTCGGCAGACTGCTGGGAGGAGCGAACATCACTCTGGGAGGAGTTCTGCTCTGCATTCGGGCGGTCCTACAGCCCAGGGAAACCGAGAGGCCAGCCGAGTCTGGGTGGACGGATCGGACGGCATCTGCAGCCAGTTTCTTAGGGTCCACTGTGGGATGGACTTTTACAAGAGATCCTTCCTGCTTCAAGCCATCAGTATCTATAACATCTCTTAATGAAATGAGGATAATGAGTTACAATAACAAAATAATTTCCCTTTGGGATTAATAAAGTATTTTTGAATTTGAATTGAATTGAATTTGAGTCAGTGCTTCAAGAACCACCATGCACAGATGTATGCAAGACGCATACAGCTGTGACATTCCTTGAGTCAAGCCACTCTTGAACAAGAGACAGCATCAGAAGTGTCTCGCCTGGGACTGCTGCTGAGTGGTTCAAAATTATGTTCTCTGATTAAAGTAAATTTTGCATTTCCTTTGGAAATCAAGGTCCCAGAGTCTGGAAGAAAAGAGGAGAGGTTCAGAATCCATGTTGCTTGAGGTCCAGTGTTAAGTTTTCACAGTTCGTGATGCTTTGGGAGGCCATATCATCTGCTGGTGTTGGTCCACTGTGTTTTTTGAGGTCCAAGGTCAATGCAGCCATTTACCAGGAAGATGGAGCACTTCATGCTTCCTGCTGCTGACCAACTTTATGGAGATGCAGATTTCATTTTCCAACAGGACTTGGCACCTGCACACAGTGCCAAAGTTACCAGTACCTGGTATAAGGACCATGGTATCCCGGTTCTCAATTGGCCAGCAAACTCACCTGACCTTAACCCCATAGAAATCTATGAGGTATTGTGAAAAGAAGATGTGATACACCAGACTCAACAATTCAGAAGAGCTGAAGGCCACTATCAGAGCAACCTGGGCTCTCATCACACCTGAGCAGTTCCTCAGACTGATCGACTCCATGCCACACTGCATTGCTGCAGTAATCCAGGCAAAACGAGCCCCAACTAAGTACCGAGCGCTGTACATGCTCATACTTTTCGTGTTCATACTTTTCAGTTGGCCAACATTTCTAAAAATCCATTTTTTAATTGGTCTTAAGTAATTTTGTAATTTTCCAAGATAATGAATTTTTAGGTTTTCATTAATTGTCAGTTATAATCATCAACATTTAAATAAACATTTGAAATATATCAGTCTGTAATGAATGAATATACAAGTTTCACTTTTTGAATGGAATTACAGAAATAAATCTACTTTTCCATGATATTCTAATTTTATGACCAGCACCTGTATGTGTTGGGATTACTCTGAACTACTACCACGACAAACGTGAGCTCATGATCTGTAAAATTGATCAATAGTCTGTAGCAGCTACCTTCAATCAGTTTGTCCCTAAAAATTAATAAAGTTTTTTTCATAGGTTCATTAAATTTTGTTCACTGTTTTGTGAGATCTTTTGCTAACACAGCCAAATGAAATTGCTCGTGCACACAGACAATGGCACCACTGCCTGCCTCCAATCATAATTCTGAGGGTGGTGCGTTTCACAGCACCACAAATAAATTCTGCTCCGGCCCGACTCCTTTCTTCTGACAAACAAAGCCTAATTTACACACAAACAAAGGCTGACAGATGGAAGGTGGGTCCTCTCCAGTGCAGCACCTTACCTGATCAACTGGGAAGATCAAATATTCAAACGACAAAAGGACCTCATTATCTTTACACTTCCACGTGTGTAGGTGTGTGATGGTGTTTGCGTGCGCTCCCTCCCACCGAGCTCTGGTGGTTAATTGTCAGTTGATATTTGTGCTGACAGTTGTGTTCAGGCTCCACAGGAGAGAAATCAGATCGCAAACTAGCACACACACACACACACACACATATATATGACTTTTGAAGAGTCTTTATCGCCCACAAACACAGTTTACACACACACACTCTCAGTTTTATCTGATCAGTTTGTCCGGAGAGATGAGGAGAGTGGGCAGACGGGTTCAGAACTGGAAAAACTGAAGTATTTCAAAACTACACCCAGAGAACCAGAGGGTCTGTGTCTGCAGCTCCTGGGTCTTTATCTCCAACTCTCCCCGTGTCAGCCTGTGATCTGATTGGTTATTCACGTCACGCTGCCGGAGACGATCACATTATGCTCAGTGATGTGCATTTCATCCAATCAGGGTCTTCTTTGTGCTCTCTGGGTGTTCAGATGCAAATCTATTCAATAGAGCACATTTTCATTTCCCAATGTAAGACCACTGGCGTATTCATGAGCACAGAAGCCGAAAGTGAACGCAGCAGCAGATACACTGTGCAAAAGTCTTGAGCCACACATATTTTTCTATATTTGTGTGAAAGTTTATGAAGTATTCACGCTATTGTGATCCATTTTTCTTCCGTACGTTTTTCAGCATCTTTCTCGCTCCGCAATTTTTGTGTTAGTTCAAAACATTCAGCTCGTTCAAAAGGGTGCTATGACTTTTGGTATTGGTTCAACTTTAGCTTTTTGAAATATTTAGCCTTTCAGACATTTTTTTTCCTCATAGGAAATGAATTGAGCTCATTTTACATCCTTCATACCTTTAGATCTGTTTACAAACTTTTACTGCTCCTTTCAGCTTCCTTGTGCAAATGTAAACTTTTTTCAGCTACTTTCAGCTGTTTTTTCAGCTATTTTGTCATCCTTTCAGATTATTTGGGCTAACTACAACATTTTTGTGCTTCTAACTTCTTTCTGCTAGTTTCAGCTTATGCTTGTTTCAGCTTATTTATGCATGTTTCAGCTTTTTCAGCTACTATTTAGCTGTTTTTATGCTAATTTTAGCCTTTTTTGTTGCAAATTCCATATTTATTGCACTCATTTCAACTTTTTTTTTAGCCCAATTCAGTAAAAATGTACTCTTTCCGCTTCCTTCTGGTATTTTCAGTGTCTTTCTGCTGTATTAGTTAAATTTCAGCTGGGGCTTTTTTTGTGCTAATTTCAGCTTTTTTCAGATAAGATCCACTTCTTTCAGCCTTTCTCCCTTGTTTCAGCTTTTACTGCTTATACAGCTGCTATTTAGCTCGTTTAATGCAAATTTTAGCTTTTTCAACTAATTCCATTTATTTTTTTTATTTTTTTTTTAGCTCAATTCAGTTATTTCCCGTTCCTTCTGGTAGTTCAAGCCTCTTTTTGGCTTTTCAGCTACTTTTGAGCAATTTTTTTTAGCTAATTTTATTTTTTAAAGCTAATTTCCTATTTGTTGTGCTCATTTCTGCTTATTTAAACTGAATTCAGCAAATATGTGTTTCTTCTTCTTTCTTCTACTAATTTAAGCTTGTTCTTTCATTTCAGCATGCTATTCAGCAAGTTCTTCTGCAATGAGTATTCACACTGAATTTTTACAGGAAATGAAATTTCTCTAATTTTTTAAAAATATTTTCGTTCCAGTGGTTGTACCAGCTTTAAATTTTTAATTATTATTTTGTTAACTCACTTAAAACTAATGCATTATAAATCACTCAGTGAATGAACAAGTGTAGTGTTTAAAAATAGCTGACTTCTTAGCTAAATTTTTATTTTTAACATTTTTTATCCACAAAAGCTGTCAAAGAGAACACAGACTGAACAGCACATATTTACGAGCAACACAATAGCAGGTCCTGTCTCACGTCTTCGATCAGTTTTAGCATTTTCATTTTAAAGGACGTGACTTTCTGATACAGTTTATGTGAGATGAAAAGGTTTTCAGGTCTTCCTTGTCCCCTACTTGTTCAGATTTTTTTTTTTAACTATTATTATTTTAATGCACAACATGATAGGATCTGGACTAATAGCTTTTTGGGAAGGTGTGTAATTCAATGGATTTTCAATAACATAAAGCTAATAATAAAATCTTCTGGCGAGATGCAAGGATGGACTGAAAAGTACAAAAGCTGTGTATAAAAACTTTGGAAGACTTGTAGAAAATCCTATGATAATTTAAAAATGCATAAGAAGGTCTATAATTGTACAGCAAAATAAATACCAAAACTGCTGCTCCGATTATGAGGAAATCCAGGGTTTTCCTTTTAATATGATTTACCAAATTAAATGGAGTCTTCCAGTTACAGGAAAACAAGATGTGCAACTATTCTACTGATTTCCTTGTTCTTGAACAATAAACACAAATCAAATATTTTCCATTATGTAAATTAAACAGTATTCAAAAAAGGGAAAAGCTCTAATTAAACCTGATTTATTTGAGCTACAGAAGCTCTGCACGTCAGGGCCAAAAGAAAGGTTTAGCGTTAAGCAAAAACAAACAATTACAGTCAGTTGACTGAAGCGTTTTGTGCACTGTAATGTTCGTCACAGCTCCTGCAAAACTCAGTAAACACACAAAAAAGCATCGTGCCAAGAGTGGTGTTAACGAGGAGTAGAAGGGAAGCATTAAGTTTCAATAAAAGTCTGGTGATAAAAATTCTTGGAAATGTGCTTTCCTAGAAAAAAAAAGAAGTTCTCTTGTCACGGTCTCCTTTTAATTAAGTGAGAAGCATTCAGTGCCAGTCAGTTAGATACACCACCGTATGCTACCACTAGAAAGACTTTGCACAGAATAATCCTAGAAATGAGCAGCTACAATCTGGCTTGAGCGTGATACAATCTTAAAATATGTGCCAAGATATAAAATAAAGTGCATCTTTTAAGAAGTGGTCCTGTGACACATGAGCCGTGTAACTTTTCCCGTGTGGACATGCCGTGCTCTAAACCAACCTTTTTCACGTAGTTCTGAATCATTTCTGGGTCTGCAGCCTGTTGACTGGCCACACAGACGTCCGTCTCCAAACGATGTCCTGCCCACCTCAGATTACTTTTCTCTAAACTGCGAGATTAAAAAAAAAATTAAAAAGAGCGTGAGAGAGCACAATAATTAACATAAAGCCTTTGGTTTGTGCATTGTATCCCTCAGGTTGAATCAGAAAGTGTCAAATGTTTTTCTAAAGAGGCCATAAAAAGGTATGAATAGTCAGTATCTATCCTGTTGTAGATAGCTCCTTGAACAATCAAAGAAATAAAGTTGAACTCTGACCAGATTGACAAGCTAATGGCTAGTCTGAAAGCAAAGCGGGATAGTGCTGTTGCTGTACAACTCCATTCTTAAAAGTTTTACAGTGGTTCATGTGAGCGGTTTTATAAATCTTTACATCACTGTCAGTTTTGTATCACACAAATATTTATATAGAATTCTGTTTGGTATTTGTGAGCACAAACAACAACCAACTCACTGGGCACCGATTGTTGGTGACTAACGGCATTAGTGAGGGAGTTTCCACGATGGCTTATAATGTTTGCGGTAGTTAGTCTCAAAGTTGTTGTTGGTCTCTGGAGCTCGTCTTGAACACTTTTCAGTTTAGTTCCCCTCCAAGCTGGTCTCCAAACTCACCACACTGGGCTTGGAGAAGTCCATCTGCTGCTGGATACTGGACTTCCTGAGAATTGGCAGTCACCTATCCTCCACACTAGTCCTCAGCATCGGTACACCTCAGGGTTGTGTCCTCAGTCCACTCTTGTACTCTCTATTTACGCATCACCAAGCACAGCTCTAACGTCATCCTCAAGTATGCTGATGACACCACCATCTTGGGCCTCATCACTGACAACTACTATATTCTACCATGTTGTTGTTTACTATTTTTCTTTTGGACTTTGTAAAGATATTTATTTTCACTTTTGGTGCTTTATTTTGTACCCTTATTGCAGGCATGGGCAAACCCCGGCCCGCGGGCCTTGAGCTTTTTAAATAGTCTGCCGAAATTGTCCAAAATTTGGACAATTAATAAAAT